TGCGTCGCTGCGTAGCCCCAGCTGCACATTCGGGGGCTGGCAGGCCCTGGGCAGGGGGCTCCGGCGATGTGTGGCCGTGCTCGGGAAGAGGCAACGGTGCAGGGGCCGCTGGGCCACCAGTATCACCCGCGGGACGCTGTGAAGCGCAGCCCCTGCACAGAGGTTGCTCTGAGCAGCGCCCGCTGACCAGGCGCCCCTGTCCCCCTGGGGCTGTGCAAGAAACATCTCTGCACTGTGATGGAGGGCATGAGGCCACCATGATCACTAGAGAGAGGCGCAGCAGAGCACCACGGCCTCTCCCTGGGCCTCTGCTCTACACACAAAAACTCTCACCTTTGCCAGATAGCCAGGCAGGCAGAGAGCATCAGGATGGAGCTGCAGCAAGTGGTGGTCTGAGAAGTGGCCTAACAGTTGAGCTCAAAGTGCTGTTCAGGGCACAGTAACTTGGGGGTAGGCCAGAGCTCACAGGGGCCTCTGGAGTTCTACCGGGTCTTGGTCCAGTTAAACTTTACAGAGCTGCCAGGCCAGGAGGAGCTGCTGCAGGATCCCAGAGGGCTCACCGCCAGGACAGAGGCTCCGCTAACCAGTTCCCCGGGTAAGCCCACTGTCCCTGTTACCTCAAGTCAGGGCAATAAACACTTGTTCACAGTGCAGAGGGAGGCAAGAGTGATTCTTCTTCCCCAGTCTCACCCTCCCCTTGATCACAACAGTCCCAGGGACCATTGGGACAGAGCCAAAGGAAGCCCCCCTGCACCCTGCATGAGTGAGGTGACTTTTGGTGTGTGTTCCCTAGGGTGGCTGGCCACCTGCCGGGAGCAAACCTCCTCCTGCTCCAGCGCTTGCTTGCTGTGCTCCATCCCATCAGCGAGCACGTGGAGACCAGCAGGATGGGGGCCACAAGCCTGGCCACCTGCGTGGGGCCCAGCTTGCTGAGCCTCGGCGGGGACAGCGTGTTCCCCACGGCAGAGCGCATGGAGAGCAAGAGGAAGGTCTGTAGAATTCAGCCTCTCGCTGCCAGCTTGGGGGCAGCTTTGGGCCACCCCACGTCCCCCTCGCCTTGCAAGAGCTCAGCGAAGCAGCACCTCAGAGCATCGGGGCGCCCCTCATCGGCACTACCTGCAAGGGGACAAGCACATCTCTGAAAGCTGAGGGTTTGTGTGTGCAGGTGACGGTGCTCATCACCTTCCTCATTAAGAACTGCCAAGAGATTCTGGAGGAGGACGTCACCTCACTGCCCTTCAGTGTCTTGGCCGAGGAGTCCCCTGTGGACACGAAGTGCTCCACAGGTAGTAGGATGGACGGATGCCTGTCACAGGGTAGGGCTGCTGGGAGTCAGGTTTGCATTGGCTCTGGGAAAGCATCTTTAGAAATGCAGAGAGGTGTCATGGGTGCACCCACAGACACAGTCCCCTGGTATCATCCAGTGCCCCAACAAACACCCAAGAGGCTCTTTCTCCCCACAGGACACCCAGGGACTCCTCAACACGAAGGCTCTGTCAGCGACAGCCCAGAGTGAACAGCTGAAGGCAGCTCCCCAGCCACGGAGAGGGAGCAGCCCCAGGGGAGGAGGAGCAGCAGCGTCACCAGGCCATCCCCAAGATGTGCCTCTGCCCTGGGACATTTTAGGAATGACACCAGCAGGATGGTCTGTTTTTGCTCAGAGCCAGACCTGTCCATGGAAAACCCCTCTGGTGGCAGGAGGAAGGAGGAGTAGCCCAGCAAAAGTGAGGCCAATTTCCTCAATTAGCAATAACAGCTGGGGCTGGAGAAGGCACTTGAAATATCCTGTTCAGTTTTGCCTTCACAGGTATCCAAGAGCTTTCTATAACCAAATCTTCCTTCAACTGCTGCCTAGAGAGCTCCTTCCCTAGTATGATGCCTCCTTCTCCAGCAGCCCCACATTAACTTGCCCTCTTTCCCATCAAAAAAAAGAAAAAAAAAAAAAGGCACTTTTATCATAGACCAAATTGCCCAATTGGAGGTGGTTCTCCCAATACTGACTCGTCCTTCAAAAAGCACTTTGAAGTCAGGAAGAGGTAGCTGGAGGCACACTACCAAGCAAAGTTTGTAAACGTGGTTAACTTATTCATCCTCACTGTGATTCTTCTTGCCAAGGCCAAATGGTAAGTTTGGTCCTTATCAAATTTTTTTTTTCCCTTTGAGGGCTCTCCTGAGGTTACCAGTTCGACTCAAGTTCTTTCATCAGAATTGGTGGGGTAGACAGAGCTGTATAAATTTTGCAGAAAAAGAGAAGGGAATATGCTCCTTCTATCATGTTGTACAGGAATACTTGGCAGCTGTTGACGAACACTCTTGTATTGTAAAAAGAACTATTTTCCCGGTACGAAACTACCCCATCTTCCTTATGCTCTTGTCTGGATGGCCTAGCCAAAGTCAAGAGACGCCATTCTTAAGCATCTGATTGATAAGGAGATATGAAATTCTGCCTGAATATGTCCGAGCAATAGCAAGCCTTCTCATGCGTTTGCAGGAAAAGAAATGAAAGCATGATTAGGAAATCTGTGTGTCTGCACTCCTTTCGGAGGAATCCGTGTTTGCGTGAGCTTAAGAGAGGGCTGATGGCGGAAAGCAGCCTCCCCTCAGCAGAA